TTGCTATTGCTATTGCTATTGCTATTGCTATTCCATTACATAAGAAGTAACTTTGTAACTTTGTAACTTTAATAAAACTTGTACGCCACCCACTCCCTAGGGACTCTGGCCGGCTCACAACAAAAGCAAAGACATAGAATAACAAAAGTACAATTATTTAAAATAAAATCACCATTCAATCACGTGGGGCTGGATTATTACTCAACAGGTCAAGAAGTTCAGTAATGAAGTTTATCACCCCTTAAAAAGAGAATCAAGAGAATTGCTATAAACACTGATATTAATCAAATATACGCTGAGAAAACTCTGGAGAAGAATTGGCTTTCAATGCAATTGGAAGAAAAATAAATGTGAAATGCAGACTGCCTGATTTTGCCAATGGTAGTAATAGTGTCTGCCTTTTTAAATTATGTTTTAATACAGAAAAATACGTTATAAAATATCCTCCAGACATTTTTCTTTGTGATTAAGTCCACTGTTATATGATGTTAGCATATTAACAATCTTAATATATTTTCAATTTTTCAAATCAAAGTAGGATTGGATTTTCCTTGTTTCAGTTTTTTTTATTGTTATTATTAGGCAATATTAGTTTTCCTGCAAAGCCATCTAAACCAAACATTTTTTTTAATTGTCAGTGTTTTAAAAAATTAAGTACTGGTTTATTTTTGCAAAATGTACTTAACATAGTTTGAATTATCTTAATTATTCCAGGCTTGGATTACATTCAGTTATGCTGAAAAACAAAAACCTATGAAGCAAGAAAATTGTACAATTACTTAAATGTGAAGTATAATCTTACATACCTTGGTGTCTGAAATGCTATACCATATTGTTGGCACGCCAGACCCACAGTGGGAGTATAAACAATAGGCATAAATCTCTCAATGTCAGAAGTCAGCACTTTATAAAAGAGTTTTTCATTTCGATCCTGAAGACCCATTAGCAAAATATACCTGTGAAAAATGAATTATAAATTAGACAGATTTCCATATGTAGCTCTGAAGTAAATTAAGTGTAAAAAGATCTAAAACAGGGATTGTTTTCTCATTAGTGTTATTTTTACCTATGGAAAATGCTTCTTTCTGGTGGAAAGTTCATTACTATATCACCAGTGAAGCTGGTGAATCTGTAGCAAATGTGAAATTATTTAGCATATATATTTATTTTGTTATTCACTCTACATCTTTAGGGACAGAGGGGGTTAGATTAAGAATATGAATATAGTTTAGAAAATGAAACAAAACATTGTAATGCATCAAACTGTAACACACTTCTAGAATCTAAAAAACTTTTGTTTTTTTTGTTTCTGTGAGAAAGTCAGAGATTCAGTTTTGAATGGGCTAAATAGGTTATTCCCAATTTGATTGGGAAGGTGAACCACAAAAATAACTAAGAGAGCTGTGCTACTGTGATACTTTTATGATCTGATTGAAATAAAATATGACAAAATGGTATTCAGTAATCATCAATAATACTTTTAAATCATTTTTTTCACAAACCACATCAACGTAAAGCTAGATATAACTATTTTATCCATCTACAGAAGCTTAGCATTGGTTTTCTGTTCGGAAGAGGAAGCACTGTTGCAATCTATTAAAATAGTCCCCAATGGATCACTCTTACACTAGCAACTCCACATATATAGTCTAGGTAATTACCTAATCACACAGCAAACTAAAGAAACCTGCTTCTTCCTGTGCCTTTAAGAGCCAAGGTGGCGCAGTGGTTAAATGCAGCACTGCAGGCTACTGCTAGATCAGCAGGTCAGCGGTTCAAATCTCACCGGCTCAGGGTTGACTCAGCCTTCCATCCTTCCGAGGTGGGTAAAATGAGGACCCAGATTGTTGGGGGCAATATGCTGACTCTCTGTAAACCGCTTAGAGAGGCCTGAAAGGCCTATGAAGCGGTATATAAGTCTACTGCTATTGCTATTGCTATTGCCTTTAAATTCCACTCCTAGTAGTAAAGATCATCATACGCTAATCACAACCCACAATAGTTATAAAGGAATCCTAATGTTTATAAATCTAGATACCTCGGCTTAATACAGTTCATTTAGTGACCATTCAAAGTTACAAAGGCAATGAAAAAAGTGAGTTATGACCATTTTTCACACTTAGAACCTTTGTAGCATGCCCATGATCATGTGATCAAAATTCAGGTGCTGGCAACTGACTCCTACTTATCACTTTTGCTGTGTCCCCAGATCATGTGATTTGCCTTTTGCAACCTGTTGACAAACAAAATCAAGAGGGAAGCCAGATTCATTTAACCACCATGTAACTAACTTAACAACTACGGTGATTAGCTTAACAGCTGTGGCAAGAAAGGTTGTAAAAAGGGGCAAAATTCACTTAACAAATGTCTCACTCAATTTCAGGAGGATTATCATTCTAAAAAGTACCTGAATTTATAATCCCTGGTTTTGAATGCTACACAATTTGCTGATTGAATCTTTTTTTTTTCTACGATCTAAATTTCATTTCATTTCATTTCCAAAGGAAAGTACAGGTGGAAAACATATTACACATCGCCTAAACTAAACTATGCCGAACTGTTTTAAGTATGCATGGCAGCCAGAAATCTGAAAAATAGACTTTTCTCTGAACAATTGCCTTTAAAAAAAAAACCTTCATTCTCTATAACCAGATGCTTTTGCTTAAAAGGTCCCATTTTATTTTATTCTTCTGTTCAATTATTTGATGGAAGATTCTGTAAAAATGGCGTTTTGAGCAAGATATAAGGAAAAAGTCTGCTAAAAAAATATTTCTATACTAAAAAGCCAAGTATGAAATTAAAAATTTTATTCCATTTCTTAACTGTCCTCAATTTTATAGTAAACAAACCATGTTTTTTTAAAAAAAACATGCAGCATAATTAGGGAGATAATGAAATTTGTGATTTTTCAAAAACACACAATTTATCAAGTCTACAAAATACTTCGGGTATTGGTATTGGTATACAGCACCCTTTCCAAACTAGCTGATTTGGCTTGGCATTTAAGCTAAAGGGACATAGGCTCTTCTCATCCGTCATGGTATCCCCTTCATTTGTTTTGCTATTGGTTTTGCAGAACTACTAAGAGAAAAGAGACTATGAAGTATAGCTTATTAAGCACTCATATATATTAAAGAAAAATGTATAAATAAAAAACTTTAAAAATGAATAGATGAAAATCCTATAACAGAACCCTGGAGCACTACATTCTGCTTCCAGAAAAGCAATGGCATAATATATCTTTAAGATGTCCACATATGTAATGTCCAGGGGTGGGTTCCATCAGGCAATACTGCTGGTTTGCTCATGTGCGCGCCCTGCGTGCATGCTTGATGCATGCAGTTTGTGCATGCGCAGTGCAATTACAATTGTTCTGCGCATGCACAGAACCTCCCAAAAAAGATGGTGCCGGGAGAACTGGTTCGGGGGCATGGTAGGCCTGGGTCGCTGCCGGTTCCAGTGACACCCCCCCCCAAGCCACCAAACCACTACCGGTTAGGCTGAACCGGTAGGAACCCATCACTGGTAATGTCTCAAGGCCAAGCTACTCATGTATATCCTTTGTCCTTGACAATGAATCTTTTTTTAACAGTCCCCACTAAAAAAAAAAGCAAAGACTGAAAAATATGAGTAAAAATTGTAAAAGAAAGTTGGATTCCAACTCCTCATTTATAAAAATATTTCACAAGGTTCATGGAATCATTTTACCGATATGGGTGTGGATGCTTATAAAAGCAGAAGGTATTCTTAGAGCAGTGCTTGCAACCAACAAGAGATAACTAAAATAGAAGCGGAAGTGAAATTCTGGACATGCCAATCTAATTTAGCACAGTTGAGTCAGCTAACTAGCTTTTATTAATAGTAATAAAATTGCCTGTCCTTCCTTAATCTCTTTCAAAACCCACAACGTCTCTATGGATGAGAGGAAATATATTTGAGAGAGAAAAAAATAGACGTGTGATTATTACTTTACACTAATAATAACTACTATTAACTATTGTTGTTTCCAGAGCTTGGAGTGGAATCAAATAAAACAGAAAGTGAGAAATTCCAGCTCTTTCATGCTTGCCCTTGTTTTTCCCCAGCAGTCCTGCTTTTGGAGGTAGAAAGGTAAAAAAATAAATAAATAAACATTCATGAACTGATCAGGGGAAATCTGATGCTGTTTCAGAAGCTAAAGGTAACTTAAAAGCTTTTAAACTTGATTGAAGGAAGTTTGAAACTCTGATTTTAGGTAAGTTTGCTATTTATAATAAGCATATCAAACACTTGGGAGGTCCAATCTGTGTGAGGTCTTTCACATTAAATCATTTTAAAGACATAAACTTTTGCATCTCTAGTTTATGTCTTATTAAATGTTGTTGCACTGATGATTTTCTGCATGTTATATGATATTTGACTTGCATTACAATCACAAATAATATTTCAGCTAATGCTAATATTTCTGTAAGGGATAGAAAATTAGTAGGCAATGTTTCAAATGTTCAAAAGTTTGGTAAGATTCCCTTATCACTAATAATACTTTCTCTGGATTGTCATACTTGACTTCTTAATCAAAAATATGCATGCAAAATTGACATATGGCATGGGAATTTTTTGTTTGCTATTTTTGGCTGATCTGTATGTTCAGATTCAGTTTTATATGAACGATTTTTTGCTTTTTGCTTTTGGAACTAATCCAGATCTTATGTACAAAACCTGATGGATGGATATTTTTAGTTATTTTCTACGATGGGCTAGAAAAATCAAAGTCTTTTACAAACACTTAGTATTGTTATAATACACCACATGCATACAGACAATTAGCCCTCAACCTACGATCATTCAATCCATGTTATGATGGCACTGAATGGTGATTATGATTAGTCATCAGATTTCTGGCCATCCAAGCACCCGCATAGTCACATGATAGCAATCTGGGTGCATGGCAACCAGTTTGCATTTATGACTGGTTGTCAAGTGTTCCAGGATCACTTCATCATTATTTACAAATTTCCTGCTGGTTTTCCCAGAAAATCAGTGGAGAATCCAGTAGGGAAGGTCACATATCTCTGGGGCAAGCCTGTTCACCCATCCCATCTACACTCATGCTACATTGGCCACTCACACATCTTCCTTGACTTGCATAATACCGCTCCAATGTTTCCTCATACAATCATGCAACCTCCACAAAATTGATTGGGATTAGTTATAAATTGATTCATCTGTTCAGGAAGTAGGTCACACAATGCTTAAAGAGCCTTCTTCCTACTTGACCACAAAAATTCCCTCCGATTCTTTGAAATTTAATACTCAAAATGGACAGGCAAAAGTATTTCAAAGAGGAAATATATCTTCTAATAATTCACTTTTATTTGGTCTTATTGCCTGTAGGTGCCACACAAAGCTATAGAGGTTATCAAGATGTAGAAATGGCGGATGAAAGACATCTTGCTACTTCATCTTGCCAGCCGAGGTGGCGCAGTGGTTAAATGCAGCACTGCAGGCTACTGCTAGATCAGCAGTTCAGCGGTTCAAATCTCACCGGCTCAGGGTTGACTCAGCCTTCCATCCTTCCGAGGTGGGTAAAATGAGGACCCAGATTGTTGGGGGCAATATGCTGACTCTCTGTAAACCGCTTAGAGAGGGCTGAAAGCCCTATGAAGCGGTATATAAGTCTACTGCTATTGCTATTGCTATTGCTTCAAAGAAAGAACAGACGTATGGTATTTTCATAAAAAAGGATGCCAAAATATCCATTTAAATGAAAATATGGGGGGCTGAAATTTGGGCAGGAAGGAACAAAATTTGGGAAGAAACAAAGGGTGAAACAAAGATGTTACAACAAGCATGACGGATAAAAGGAGGAAAACAGGCAGTATATTTGTATATATGATCCTGGAAGACAACCAGAAATTAAGATTCATAGACCTTGAGTTCTGGGACTGTGAATGAAAGAAAGGGAAAGCATGAAAAATATGTAACTAATTGAACTGAGGTGTTTATTAAAATTCCTCCCACAGTGGAAAGGTAGATAAGCATGCCCCTTGAAGACTTCACCTATCCAAGTCAGTTGCTTGTCTTTCAAATTTTTTACGTTCGATTAAAACTTGCATGTCTTGATTGAAAAAACAGGGAGGTAGTAATCCATGAATATTAAGCTGCTGTCGCTCTTCCAAAGTAAAAGCCATGCCCTGTACAGAAAAACAAGCAAACAAACAATAATCATTTCTGTGAATAACTATTTTAAAACATTATGGAAGTCAATTTGCTAGAGAAATCAATACTGTTCAACGGTATGTATGTAAATGTTACGCTTCTAAAATATATGCTAAATCCCACTCCTACAAACACATTTTACATGTAAATTCAGTATACTTTACTATAAAAATGTACACAAATATACTAGCTTAAAAATTGCATTAGTCTTTTGTTTATAAAGCAGACAATTCTGCTGTACATCAGAGAAAAGCTCTCTGGAATACACATTAAAGTGATAAATAGAAATTAACACAAAACAGCAATCTATTTTGACCAGACATATAACAGTCATTCTATATGAATCAGAACTATTATAACAGCTACTGTATTTTGTATGCTCAAGTGAAGCTGTGTTTAGAATGTTGCTTACAAGTTATTAACAAAAAAGAATTAACATTGAAATGTACTGTACCTTAATTCAAAGCTTATTTCTATCTAGGCATATTCCACTTTGTTTAGAACCAGAGCAAACCTATTCACCTTCAATGAAACCTAGCAGCTGAAATAAAGATATCACTGTGCAGCAAGAAAGCTACTAGAAGAGCGAAAAACTGAAAAAAAAGGGAATCCAGTTCCACATTCAGTTTTCTGTGGAGTAAATTGTTTGAGTCAGCAGGCCTTCCTGGATGACAATTGTCACTATGTTATTGCAGGGTGATAATATTTTCAGGCGCCAAGCACTATTAGGTGTCATTGCATATTTCTGCGTACATGCACACCCAAAGACACAATAAGAATAAATAAAATGACTGAGATTGCCTATTTTATTTCCCTTTTTCTATAACAGAGGTCAACATTTGCTCTTCCTATTTCCAATAGCAACTCTGTGAGGTAGATTGGGCTGGAGAGTAAGTGATCCAAGCTGCTCAATCACCTATAATGGTCAAGGGTCGATATAAATCTGGTTTTTCCTGCTTAGTCCACTACTTTATCCATTCTACCACACCCACTACCTGGAGTCTTCAAATGTTTAAGCTTTTGGTTCAATAATACTGTGGCAAGAGAATGGATAAGCGTCCATTCTAATGTGACCACATCAAGAAAGTTAAACTAATGTTCCTATAGCATGTATTCAATTATTCGTTTCTCTAGTACCTCAAATACAACCAGGAAGAAATGGGGAAAAATCACAATAATATGAAAATTGCAGGTGTTGAAACTATTTGATAAAGTTTTCGTGACTGCATAAAGATTTGATTCGTTTTAAAGAAAGAAAGCGTGTTTAATTCAAACCACACTGTGAAAGTTTGCGCCCACTTGCAGCCAAATCAGAAAACTGAGTTCAGAGGTAAACATAATTTCCAAAGATCACTTGAATTTGTATGTCAAGTATTCATTTGTTTTGGCCAGCTCCCCAACAGTCCTGAAATCTATATAGTATTGATTGGACCACACATTATTTGTTCTCACATCATGTGAAAATAAACAATTTTTACATCTTGACTTATTTCATCTTTTTCTTTCAAATATGATCTTTTTCTGTTTCTAACAAATATAAACTACATTCTTTCTTTTCTGCTAAGTTAAATAAATTTGTGCAGGATATATCATATATGCAAGGAAATGTGAGAAAGGTAACATCACAGAAAGAACTATTCTTCCATAAACGGAGTTTACACTTGAGCTTTACTTTCTGATTATTGCTACTAGTTACAAAGAGATGCAGTTCTTAAAAATGTCAAATCTGCCTTAAACAAACAGTTAATTTTTTTTAGAGTTTTTTAACACAATATTGAAAATCAATCCGCTGAATTCAGCAACAAACCTTTCAATGGCCTGGATTACATTCTATTGCATACTATGTGACAAAAAACCTGAAAAATATTTTAAAATGTAATAATATATTTTCAGCTTAAGTCTTGTTTGTGCTTAATGTCAATACAATGGTAGTCTGAAAATCTAACACGAATATAAGTAGTCCTCCACTTAAGACCATAATTGAGCTGTTGCTAAGCAAGATTTTTGTTCAGTGAGTTTTGGCTTATTTTACTACCTTTCTGGTCACAGTTGTTAAGTGAATCACTGCAGTTGTTAAATTAGTTACACAGCTGTTATGTGAATCTGGCTTCCCCATTGACTTTGCTGGTCAGAAGATCGCAAAAGGTAATCACATTACCCCAGGACATTGCAACCTTCATAAATACGAGTCAGTTGCCAAGTTTCTGAATTTGGATGGTTGGGATGCTGCAACTGTCATAAGTGTGAAAAATGGTCATATGTCACTTTTTCCCCCAGTACTGGTGTAACTTTGAAGAGTCACTAAATGAACTGTTGTAAATCATGGGTTACCTATAGTTGGTTCTTAAAATGTAGAGGGAAAGATTCTACACAAATAAATTCGCTGAATATTATTCAGTTGGATTAATCTAGGACTCATCTAGCATTCCATTCAAGCAGTGTACTCTAGAACATTTGCTCATTTCTTTAAAAAGTTAATTTCCTAATCAAAGGTCTGTTAACTGACTAATAGCTAACAGGTATAACTCCATCAGAATATTTTGAGACAAAAAAACATTAAAAAGAGAAGGTTTTATTTGTATCCACGTCTATGTATGTGATGTAATACCTAAAATAACCGCCCACACCATTAAGTGGATCATTTTAAAATAAATGGGAGGCTCTTCATTTTATAAACTTTGCCTGTCTAATGTAAATGAACCAAAGTAAAGTCCCGCTTCTTTTATAAGTGAGATTGAATGTTATCTTACATTTAAAAGTCACTGATTTTGCAGCACTTTTACAACTCATAAAATTAGCCATTTAATTGGCCTTCAAGCATTATCTACTGCCCAGCGAGACATTTAAATTTAAGTACACAGAATGGAATAATAGTCAGACTAAGGTATAAAACCCTGCTAAAAGAACAACAGATATGGGATGAAAAACAGCAAAGCTCTCTTCTTAAATCAGAGAATATACTCTAATGCCTGGCTTTACATAAACACTATAAAAATTTAGAGAGGAAATAATTATATTACCACAAATGCCTCCCACTGTAGTGCTGATCATAAATCAATCATTCTTTTAAGGCCGCAGCTAGTGACCATATGAAATGGTTGATATTGTTCTGAAAATATTATGATTTTCATAGTATTTTAGAAGTAAGGAGGAAAAAATTGCCACAAATCTGTTATGTTAGTTATGAGATCTATTGTGGAACATGTAGGAGCCAGATGGTAACACTGTCTGAAAAAGAGACTTTTCTCTCCTGTGAGTGTCTTCTGGGTTTTTTCTGCTTTTCGTCTCTAAATGTGATGGATTCAAGTTACGGTTTAATGAGACCAGGAAAGAATTCTATACTCTTGTACTAATAGATAGTAAACACATGAGATTTTCATCTTTGATCCTCTTTACTAACATATGACAAGTGTGAACTGAGAGGAAATTCTGTTATGGGCATTCACTTCCACTATTGGCTCAGACTCATTTAGTTTGTCTTATCATATTTTCTACACTTATAACAGCACAAAGCTATATTTCACTACAAAAGGCTCCATTTTGCTTAGGTTATTTACATAATACATCAAAATATTGTACAATGTTTGAAATACCCAGAAGTGACTTACACTGGAAATTGTGACAGTATATATTACAGAAAACGAACAACTTTTACTATTAAGGGCCTACCCTAGTTATGTAGTTTATGTTCTTCTACAGATATTTAAAAAAAACTTAATACTGAAAGGAAGCCAGTATATCCATGCCACTTATTACTGTTTTGCATATCCCATATTTTGGTCTTAAAGAGATGGTGCATCAACCAAATTGTGAAGTTGCTACTAAAATAATGTCATTTTTTTAATCAATGTGGAACTTGTAGACACCAAGTAAGGAGTATCATACATTCATGACACTCATAGCAATAGCAATAGCAGTTAGACCTATATACCGCTTCATAGGGCTTTCAGCCCTCTCTAAGCGGTTTACAGAGTCAGCAGATCCTCATTTCACCCACCTCGGAAGGATGGAAGGCTGAGTCAACCTTGAGCTGGTGAGATTAGAACCGCTGAACTGCAGATAACAGTCAGCTGAAGTGGCCTGCAGTACTGCACCCTAACCACTGCGCCACCTCGGCTCTAGGAAGTGATCACTTC